TGATATTTTCTCTTACAAGAGAAATTGCGAAGTTGCCATTGTAAGCTATGAGTTGCTGCAAATCAGAGATTCATGGCAACCTTAAGTAGTTGACAATAGTCCTCTTTTCTGATTTTAGTATGAATTATCAGCCTCTTGAACTGTAACTTGAGTATGAATATTTCTAAGTCTTTAAAGCTAAGTTTGGTATGGTCACCAGAACAGTATTAGACATAATTTTTTCTTTAAACTCTCAGAATTAAGAACATGTTGTCATCACAATAATTATTACAAGGAAGAAAGGGTTCTTGTTTGCTAAATACAGCTGTCATCCTCTTCTATTGCCCCTCCAAATCCCTCAGACATGTGCTTCAGTGATCTTTCTCTCCTCCTCAGAGATAACTCCATGCAGCAGGAGTTTCTCACTTCCATGACAAGGAGAAACTGCCAGCACAGGGTTCTCCCCTGACCCCTCTATGTCCAAAATTTAGAAGTCCTGGGATTTGATGGTCCATTTTCTTTCTTACGTAAGCTGTCCTCTTCCTAGGCCATGTAGATAATTCTGTAATTTATGTTAGAGTAGAATTCCAGTAATTCTGGGTTGGGCAATGTGTATTGCTTGTTGTCCAGTTGATTATAGTGCATTTTGAAAAACAGGAAAAAGCTTGCAAAGCAGCAATTGCAATAGATTCAAGTAACACTTAAAAAAAAAGCTACTGTTTTCTAATTATTGTGGCAGCAATAATAAAAAAGAAGCAGATCCTTGTGAATAAATACACACTAAAAGAAATGTTAGCTCCCAAGTGCAGAGATACATGCAGGAACACTTAATGGTGTTTTAAAACTTCTTGGAAAAGCATCTGCTTGCTGTGTGCACTGACACCAACTTACTGTTATTGCCCTTGTCCTGCAGGAAACATTATTTTCACCATGACCAGTTGGACTGGGATGAGCACAGCTCTGCAGGCCGCTACGTCAGGAGACGCTGTAAGCCTCTGAAGGTAGGAGACAGCATTTTTATTGCTCTGCTAGACTGCAGTTGTGAAAGCTGTCTCTAAAATACCTCCTGCTTTTTTGTTTTTTTTTCAGGAATTCATGCATTGCCAAGACACAGATCATCAGAGTCTGTTTGACCTTGTTCGCAGAATGCTGGAATACGACCCAGCCAAAAGAATTACTCTTGATGAAGCCTTGCAGCATCCTTTTTTTGATCCACTAAATAAATAAATTCAAAGATCTTCTATACTTCTTCAAGGAGATTTCCTAGACTGTGTCAGTCAGTCAGCAGAGGTTGCATGAAACTTTTGTAAGCTTTAAATTATTTTGTACAGTTAAGTCTGTAAATAATTACATATGTTTTGTATAACTGTTATGTTTACCTTGTTGAGCAGTTGTAGTCTTATGGGTATCAAAGTGAAAAATAAAAGTAATTTTCATTTTTGAAAGCCTGCGCCACTCTCCTTTTACAGATAATGCTAGTGGACCCTCTGACTTTAGGTGAGGAGTCTGGGCTCGCTGAAGTTCTAGAAGCATTCCCTAAAACTTCTTTTACTATTCTTGAAGAAAGACCCACTTAGTTAGTGCTCTATGTAACAGTCTGATGGCATTTTGAAACATGCATGGAAACAGTCAATATCCTAAGAGGTAGCTTTTGTGAGTCACCTTTTTCACAGATTTTCTGGGACATAGCATGCATTGCTCCCCAACCCAGCTAATTAACTCTTGGAAACTTGTCTGATGCTTTCAGTTTCAAATATTCATAGCTAATCTTTTTAGTTAAGATCTGTAAAATAACATTTCCTATTTTCAATATTGCTTCAAGTCATTCAAGGTGAACATTTCTGTGGTAAATTTTTGGAAAGACTGTACTGCTGCAGGGAAATACGGCATGCAGATTTGTGGCATATTTGATGCCTTAAGCAGCTGGAACAGAGGCTAGAGAGTTAAGGGGAATAAAAGGATATTTATTGAAGGGCCTTCAAAGGCCACACCCTGGCAGTACCAGAGCCACAGCTTTGGCTCTGCCCGGATGGGATAAGCTCTTGCAGTAGTGAGATCATTTTGAAGTCTTCAAGGTGTATTTCTGTGGAGCTTTATTTGTATTTACTGGTAAATGAGGTGGCCCTGGGACCTGAGAAATGCTGGCATTGAGACTGTACAGGATGAAGGTGTGGCCAGGTTCTCAATTGTGGTTCCTGAACTCTGGTACTGGGTTGAGAAGAAAATAGTGCAACTTTCCAAGACCCATTAATGTGCTTTGGTACTTTTGGTGTTTCCATCTCTATAACTTGATGGTTTTTACTCCAACTCCCTTAATCCATCTGACTCTCTATGGGTGGCTTGCTGAGCAGTAGGAAGGGAGCCTTCCATGGAAAAGTTCATTCTGACTGTAATAAGCAAGTTTTGGCTATTTATTTTAATCTTGACTTTACTGTTCAAGCCTTTCTTCAAAGGAAGGAAACTAAATTGTTTTGGCTCCACAGGAGCATGACTTCAGGTTTTGTGTTTGCTGAGTTAGCCCTAATACACAGTAAGATTTTAAACTGATGTCGAGGAGGCTTCATTTGCAAGAGGCTCCAGACGTGCATATCTCTGAGCTGGGGATAGAATAGAGCTGGGCCAGGCTTTGAAAGCTTATCTTCTGTTACTAGTGCCACCTCCTGGGCTTGATTACAGCTCATCACAGCCACCTCCTTTCCTTGGGTGTTGGTGTTGGTGACATTGTTTCTGCTTGGCATGACAGAAAATGTAACAGTCTGTGCCATGCAGGTCAGCTCAGTAGGGCTGAGCAGGACAAGAGTAAATTCCTTCTCCCTACAGTACTTTCCATCCCACAGCTTCAGAGGCAAAGCAAGGACTTGGCTGAGTGTATCAGCTAAGCAATGCAAATCAAAGGCAGATGGGGGGAGAAAAGTTTATATGCTGCTATAACAATAAAACTGTAACCATAAAACAGTTCTATCAAAATTAGGGAAAGATGGTGTGCTCTTGCTTACAGAGTGCTTCTAGCTGTTGATATAGGTACTGAAATTCGTAGTGTTGGGTAAAGGAGATACAGCTTAGCCCTATTAATAAGCCATCTTTAAATTGACTTTCCTTGTTCCAGTAAATTTAAAAGCACTATCAGGATTAATGTGGCACCTGCAGCAAGGTGCCAAGTGCTTCTTCAGGCCTTGCAGCATCTACACCAGTGTTGGTTTGCTGGCACATGAGCCCAAGGGCCCTGGGCTCCCCAGGGAAGCTGTGTGAGGCTCTGGGCAGCATCTGGGGCTGCAGGGGCCTTGGTGCTTCTGTCTTTAGTAAGGGATGGATTTTTACATGCACACACCTCCACCCCCCATTGTCATCTTCATACTTGAAGTTTGTAATGTTTGCACGTTTGGATCAAGTTATAGTGGTTAAATAATTGTGCCTTCAAAATACAGTCTGTGACTGGGTCAGTCAGGCAGACCAGACTAACAGTGTGCATTTCCATAGTGCACCAGTCACACTTTACTGAACATGGAGGACAAGACAGAATAAGGCTGTCTTTTAAGTGGGCAGCCCAGGCTTCATCACTGAAGTGCAGAGTGTGAGAGGAAAGGGTTGAACTTGGGCTAAACTGCATGGGAAAGGAGTTTGCATTTCTGGGGCAGGAACTCACCTGCTGCAGGAGTGATCAGTCCTGCCTGTTCCTTCAGTGTCTGGATATCAGGCTGCCTGAAGGGCTCAGGTCACACAGGAAAAGATGCTTTGCACCAAAGCATCTCCCACAAAATGATGGCACTGTGTATCTGTGTGTGTTGTACTGCTCTCATGGAGCTTATAAGGAAAGTCTTGGTGTGCTCATACAAACAAGAGGGGGGAAAGGAGGTAAGAAAGAGGGTCTCACAGAAACCTGGAGTTTTTTTATCTTCAGGATATGTAAGAAAGCAGGAACTGGTTGTCAGCAAGTGCTGTGGATTTACCTGGTTTAACTGCTTTGGAAATAGCTACAAGAAACCTGTGCGTGTGTGTGTTATTGACACACTTAATTAGATCTGGCAGTGATAATGTTACTGAAATTGCAGCATTTCCTAACCCTGTCCTACACTTCAATAATCTATTCTAGAATTAAGAATTACTCTTCAAAGGGCGGGTGTCTGTTTCCAGGGTGCAAAGGGTACACTGTAATTTGTACCCTATGTGCTTAGAATCTGGACAAGCATTACATTGCAGGAGGATGTTTTATAGGTAAGTTAAGAGTTGTGGTGGTCTGTGTAACAACAAGGAGAAAGCACGATAGAATCTGTGGATGCTCGGTGCTTATCTGTGAGCAGTTTTCTCTTGTTCAAAAGCTCCCGAAAGTGGATGGAACGCTCCACTGAGATAACAGCGAGTTACAGTCCATGGTGGGGTTCTAACCTAGAACAGATCGCGGTGCAGACTGGCTGCAGGCAGAAGGTACAAAGCTCCCGGGCGGGTGCCGCCTCTGGCAGGTCGCACGCTGCCGGGGAGCCGGGGCCGGGCGCTGCCTTCGCCCGCTGTCCGGCGGGGGGAGCCCGCTGGAGGGCGCCCGGCCCGCGCCCGCCGCCCCCGCCGCGGGCAGCGCCGCTGCGGGCCCCGGAGCGGGCACCGGAGCGGGGCCGTCCCGCCAGCAGCCTGCGCTCCGGAGCGGCTCTCGCAGCGCCCCGCCCGTGCAGCACGGCCGGGACCCCGAGGGGCGCGGGGTCCGCGGGCGGGGATGGGGCCGGGAGGGAGCGGTCCCCGCGGGGGGCCGGGCAGCGGGGGTGGGATCTGCTCCGCGTAATCCCCCATGGGGGGCGGCTGGCCGCGCTCGGAGCATCCCCCCTTCCCCAGCGCGGGGGGAGGCGGCGGGGGAGCCGCCACCCCCCGCTTCCTCCGTTTAAGACCCGGGCTGGCGGGGCGAGCGCAGGAGAGCGGCCGCTCCGCAGCTCCGGCCCCACGCCCGCGGCGCGCACGGGGCGGCGCTGGATGCGCCGGCGGCGGGAGGCGGGCGGCAGCCGAGCGGGACCCCGCGCAGCGGCGCGGAGCGCGGCGCGATGAGCGCGGGCAGCGGCAGCGGCGCCGCCGGCGCGGCGGGCACCGCCACCTCCGCGCTGTGCCTGCTGCTCTCGCTCACCGCCGTGGCCGTGTGCCTGCTGCTGGGCGCCAAGACGGCGGAGCTGCAGGGCCGGCTGGCCGCGCTGGAGGAGCGGGGCGCCGCCGGCCACGGGCCGCTGCTGGACGCGCTGCAGCCCCGCGTGGAGCAGCTGTTCCGCGAGGTGAGTGAGAGGCGGCTCCGCGGCCCCGCGGGCGCGCAGGACCGGCCGCTCCCCGGAGCGGCGACAGGATCGGGGAAGGCGCTCTGGCCCCGCTCCGCCGCGGGGCTCGCTCCATGTGTCACCGGCTTCTCATCCTCTGTGAGAAAACTTACTCCCTTCTACCAAACTTTCCCCTTTCTGCTGCCGTTCCCGTGAATCAGGCGTAGGGCGAGGCGTGGCAGATCCCACCTTGATTAAAAGAGAAAACGCCCCAGGTGAAGGGCCGGCAGTCGAAAGTTAGAGGACATGCGACTTTACCCCTTATTCTGTTCACTGACACAGGTTACCCGAGTATTTTATTTGTCTTGGGATTTAATGGACCGCAGTTTCTTTGTTAGAAATTATGAACACGATTCCCGCTATCTGGACTCTCTGTCACAGCGCATTGTGGTCTGGCAGTGCAGAACTGATTTATGGCAGGCAGAGGAGACCCACCACTTGTTACTTCACTTTCGGTCCTGGGGTTTTCTGAAATTATTCAATAAATATTTCTGTGCTGAACAATTCCGCCTACTTGGAGAACTGTTATCCGCGCTGATGCCCTTGTCAGTGCCTAACTGAATCAAATCTTGGGAGAAGTTGCACTTTATCCCGGGGTTATCTTTTTCCCGATTCTGGTGTTTAGGTTTGGGGCTTTTTACAGGCAAGGGGGATGTGAAGGGCTCCATCACTCATAGGAAATGCTTCAAGATCCCACTGTTAGTTTGCTGGATTTGTATAAACAGTAGTTCATAAAGTTCAGTCAGATTCAACACGGCTTGTGGGGCTGCTGAAGGGCACCCCTGAGTGATCAGTTCTGACATCTGGGGAAGGTTTTACACTGGCATTTTATTAATGGTCTGACTGCGGTGCAAAACATGCATTAAAATCATGACAGCCACGAAGCCTAAATCATGCAAAAATGTGTTTGTATGTGGAGCTCTGGGAAAGCTCTGGGGCTGTGAGCAGGGATGGAGGCAGCACTGGGGGCATGGGGAGACAATTCCTCATGCAGTGTGTTGCTGTTGGAGCTGGGGTGAGGGTATTGCTGGCACCACCACAGCACGTCCTTTTGCCTGGAAACATTTTTGCATTGATGTGCCTTGATAAAAGTGAAATGTTAAAATATTTTTGTGAAAGCCCTGAATACCAGACCAGGGGGGTGCCTGTGAGGCGTAGTCACAGCCTCTAGTTAATGTCTGTTCTCCAGGCAGGAATTAGCCTGCCCGTTGTGGCAGTGGTTCTGTTCCAATTACCCCAATAAATGTGCTTAGCAATGGGAATGGTTTCTGTGGCATTGCCTAAGATCATGTGCAACCGCTTGCTGAGATTTAGTTAAGTGCGGAAAGCTTGTTTTGTACTGGGAATGCTCAGATGGAGTTTGTACAGGGGAAAATAAAGAAAAACCACATAATTGGGTTTCTAATGGAAGAGTGAGCTTGTTGAAACATTTAGTCTGACCGAACTTTTGTCAATGCTAAAGCAAATTTTGAATCAAGCAACAAATTCGAAGAATCCATAGTAGTAATTGCACTATCTATTAATGGTCATTTTAAATGAACCTCTGAATTTATGCTAAAGTTTCAGAAAGTGTTTCTTGCCCAAACTCTGTTACATAAGACCTCTTGCTTGTCAAGCAACTACTGCCCTTTCTGTGCTTGAGAGTTTCTGGAGAGTGAGAGAGTATTTCCATCGTCATGAACATCAACTGATGCCTGGGGTCAGTTTTTTTTGTTAAATTTTTTTTTTGTTAAATTCTGTGTTGGTCCTCCTTTGAAGTTTACCACAGTATTTCAGAAGTGAAACCAAAGCTCCATACGCTCTCTGTGCATGACCCAGCATCCTTTGTTCTCTGCCACGACCCAAAAAGCTTTACTCCATGTACCAGTGGAGGGGTTTGCTGGCATAATTTATGGCAGAGCTGTGTATAGAGAGCAGCAGATACAACATCAAACACACTGTCTCTGTTCCTTTTAGTGGTGTTTAAATGTTTGGCAAATAAAAGAGGATAGGAAATAATAAAGGAAGGATAAGTGTGTAGTTAAGGTAATGAAAGCCAATTTGGACAACAAGGATTTAGTTCCTGGCCCTGTGACAGGCATCTGTGTAACTCTGGAGAACTTGCTGATTTGACTGTGGCAGGACCTTGCCCTTCCCTTGGTTTGTCCCATTAGTGGGACGTGCTGCAGGCTCCTGCTTTGATGCCCTCTGGAACATTGCCAACAGCACGGTCCAGACGTGGCAGCATCTCCACTTGCTCTGTGTCAAAAACCCCAACTCCAAGTGTGCAGCTTTCACACTGGAGGGAAAATATTAACAGGAGGATTATAGAAACATCCAGTTGTTGTAAACAGAGCCGGATCATTTTGTTCACAAAGGATTTATTGTCCGCAGTGTCCAGATTAATCAGTTTCATGACAAGAACAATTCAATGGGAGAACAGAGGACTCGCTCCAGGATTCAGATCTCCTCTGCTGTTCCCAGTGATGCCTACTGAACTAAAAATGTGGGAGAGCTTGTTTTCATTTCCTCGAGCATCTTCATCATCCAAATTACTTTAAAAGTAAACAGATAGAACTTGAGCAACTCTGTAACATTTAGACTGCAGGTGGCTGTCAGAAAAATCTCCTTAGATGTTTTTTTTTTTGCCACATTTTCTTAAGGAAATTGCAACTTTCTCAAGGAAAGCATGTTTTGCAGAAGGCAGCTGGATCGTTCCAGTATTTATACTTCCCTTAGGACAGCTTCTCTGTCAGGTGCTATGAAACCATCTTGATATTTTCAGGACCTCGTAGTGTCACATCCAAGCAGATAGAGGAAGCATAGGATTTCAATGACAGATAAAACTATTTAATCCTCAGAATAAAAAGAAAACAACCTAATTCACAGGTAGCCTAATTCCTGAATAGTCCACGGTGTTCAAATATTTGAAAAAGGACTGGGTCATCAGTTGTACAATATCAAGTCTTAACACCCTAAACTGAATAAGCACTTTGAATTATTTGTCTTTGAAATGTAGGGACTCCAGTTATCAGATTATTGGTTTGTCTTTTGGGTAGGACAGGGCATTCCTGGGGGACTGAGAGAGTGAAGATTGTGGGTGAAGATGAGCTGCTCCCACCCTTGCTGGGCTGTCCCAGGCAGGGAGTTTGCTGAGCTAATGTAATGTACCTGTCATCAGGCTCATTAACTTGGGCTTGGCAGTGGGCTAAATGCAGGCACCAACAGTCTCCTTGGCCTAGGGAGCAGCCAGAGTGTGCACACATCTGCCTGCAATGCACCACGTAGACTCTGCTCTAGTTTTGGGGATTTTTGTGTTCTAGTTATCCCATTGATGAGTTTTTCACTTTGGGGATGGAAATACTGGGCTTTGGGTAGGCCTGAAGGTTGGTGAGCACTCCAGTTTTGACTGTCCTTTAGTTCATCCCTCTGCTAAAGAAACCTCTAACACTCCACAGAGCACGAATTTTAAGTACAAATCAACCAAATCAGGTCAAGTTTGAACATGGGACTTGTAAAGGAGCTTAGGATGAATCTTGCCAATGGAGCTTTTCTCAAGGGACTTTGGGATGTGCAGGAGGAGGGTCTGCCTTCTCTCTTGATAGCTGTAGGTGGCCACTTACTCAGAAACATTTAATATTTTTGTGCCACTGTAGCATGGGACTTTATCCAAGGAGGTTGAACCAAAGAGGATGGAACCATTACCCCTCCCTGGAAGGAAGCTGGGTGGTTTGGATGTTGGCACGTGTGCACAGTCCCTGTTTAGGTATAATGTACTCTCTAAAGGGCTGTTTTCATTCCCTCTCCACAGAAACTGGGCGAAGGACTCGCGAGGCTGCGGACGGCGCGAGAGGCCCCCCAGGACTGCGTGTGCCCCCCAGGTAGGTGCCAGGTACCAGCACAGCCCGGGGCCACCCACCCGCTGCACCGGCCACCGAGCTCCTCCTCTCCTGTTTTACATGCTCCTTTCCAGTTAGGAAAATGTCTTTAGAAGTGGTTTTTCCCGAGCTGAAGCACTCCAATGTCTCCTTTCCAGAGCTGAAGCACTCCAATGTCTCCCAGTGCATTGCTTTGGCCTGTTTACAGATCAAGGAGTTTGAGGTTTGGACAAAAGCGACATTTGGCTATAAGAATAAAAGAGTGAAGAACTCAAGTGGGTTGTGAGCCCTGGGTGTTGGGCCAAAACAATTTAGAAGTAGTAACAAAATCACTGGGGCTTCATGCAAGTGTGATAATTAAAAGCTGCAGCCTCTCTGCTTTTTCGGAGGGCAGGATTTCTTTTGCTGTAGGAAATCTGTCACCGATTGTTTAAATTTCCTCCCAGAGTTTAATGAACTTCTAAAACTGTCAAAACTTCCTGTTCTGCTGTGGAAGTGCATGCTCCTTGGAAACAATAAACAGCTTAGATTAGTTTGTAAAGGAACCTCATTTATAGAAATGTTCTGTGAAGTGCTCTGCTGTCACACTGAAGGGTGCGAGTAGCTTTGAGCTGGGGTGCCTGGAGCCTTTATTTTCTTTTTTCTTTTCACAAAAGTGGTGAAAGATTGTGCAGTGCTTTGATGCGGGAGAATTCACAGGTGCGTTACAAGGACTTCCAAGCATCAGAGTTCCATTCTAGTTTTAAAGGAAATAAACAAACAGTAAATGCTACATGAGGATGGTGGAGTAGGCAACAGGGCAGGGTCAGTTTTCCCTGCCACCCTGGATATGAACCCTACCAAAACACACAGTGTTAGTCCATACTCACAGGACAAAAAAAAAAAAAAAAAAAAAAAAAAAAAAAAAAAAAAAAAAAAAAAAAAAAAAAAAAAAAAAAAAGCCTGTGAGATTATGTTTAATCTCAGAAACATTTCACTAATGATGCTCTTAAATGTACTCACTGCTTTTCTAGTGGAAGGCTCCCTGTGTGCCTCACTGCCTGGTAACAAAACCCACCAGCTGAGAAACAAATCCTGCTTATTTTCAGCTCTTTGCAAGGTTGGTCAAATCAGATTTCTCTCTTATGATGCACAGACCCAACAAGTCCACCAACCTCATGGGATTCTTTGGCTGTGTCTTTCTCTGGTTTGGGCAAACAGGGCACTGCTGGTGTGCTTAAGTGGTCAAGAGGTTTTTCCTTTGCTCTGTGGAAAGCAATTGGGATTGAAGAGGCTTCTTTTGTCCAGGAAAGTCCCAATTCTGTTCCGGGTCACTGGGTTGTTGGTTGCTGTGTTTGGGAGATGGGGGAAGAGGGGAAGGGGAAGGTTTTCCCACGTGCTGCTGAAATGCTCGTTACAGTCATTAGTAACAAACAAAGTAATTTGAGGGAGCTGAGGGAAGGAGAAGTGATCTCCTGGTGGGTAGGAAATGTCCCATTGGTGGCTGCTCCTGGCCACCGCTGCAGGGAGCTGACTGGGGATGTGCTGCTGGACTGTCCTGAAGCCTTTTGGCTGCTTTTGAGCAAGTCAAAGACGTCTTCAGCTATGTTTCATCCTTTTCCTCTTTCTCCTGAAGAAGGCTGAATTGCCTCCTGCTCTGAATTGCTTGGTCTAGAAACATCTGAGACCTTGTGGTCCTCACTGTTGAGCTACAGCAGGCTGCACACCAACAGCTAAGCTTCAATTTGTCTCTGCACTTAAAAAGCAGCCCCCGGTGAAAGGAAATTTTCCTTGTGGAGGGGATGGGGAGATGCTGCCAGCCCTACTCCTACTTCCCATGGGCAGCTGGTGGATATTCTGTACACCTGGGCTGGGCGGCTTTCCTCTGCCAATAACCCTGCTAAGCTTAAGGACTCCTCATTGCGGCTGGATTTAAAGCCAGCTGGGGAGAGAGAGCGGCGGATGAGGATGCTCTCTGCCGTGCCATGCAGGCGTGCTCCCTCCCTCGGTGCCCCTTTGGGAACACGGGAGGGGCTGCCCCGCCGAGCCCCCCGTGGGCAGCGGCAGGAGCAAGCACAGGCTCAGAGCTCTTGTCTTAAGCAAGCCCTGATTTTTCCTAGAAATGAATCAATTTGGGGCTTGTTTGGTTTGGATTTGAGGGGGTGGGCGTTGTTTTTAGGGCACTGTTTTGATGCAATTGACTCGCTACGCATTCAAAGCAGTTTGGAACGAGATGACAACGATCCACTTAGAAGTTAAAGGAGGGTCAAGTTATTCCAACTACGGTGAAATCCTAAATCGACGCTTGTAAAAGACATAAGACAAACACCCTTCCCTCTCGGAAGAACCCCCAACCCAAAGGGACCCATTCTGTGCTTTGTGCTCCGCGGGAAGTCAGCTACGCGGCTGTGGGGCGCAGCTGGCTCGGTTTCCAGCTGTGGAGCCGCGGGGCCGCGGGGGCCGGCGGCCGGCAGAGGGGGCCCGGCCGTTTCGCCAGGGCCACGGGAGATCGCGATCGTCAAGGAAATCATCGAGGGACTCCTTTAAAATCATCCCGTCCGACTGCCCCGCAGTGAGCAGGGACGTCTCCAGCAAGATCAGGTTTCTCGGAGCTCTCTCCAACCTGACTTTGGAAGTAATAGCGATTTGGAAAAAAAAGATTATTAAAAGAATAGATTTTTAAAAGCTTAAAAATAATACTTTTCTGTCTCTAATGCTGAGCATGCCGCAAAAAGTTGCCTCTGCAGTTGCTCTGCGCATCTGTGTACTGCTTTGAGTTGACTTGTTTTGCTTTATTCATTCAACCGAGGCGATGCGGGGGAGGATGACAACAACTTTGTGTCACTTTGAGTCCTTTGTGGTTCGGGCATTTTTGTGGCTGAGGGAGAGGAGAGCATCCTTGGAGGGGTTGAGGCAGCTGGACTGAGTGTGGGTCGGGCTCGGGAACGCTGTGACAGGCTGGTGACCCCACTCTGGGGCCAAACATGGCCTTTGAGTCCCCTCAGCTATTTGGGACGGGGCGGCAGCGGTTGGACGCTGCGGGCGCTGGGCAGGGCCAGGACAGGCTGTCCCCATATGTTGTGTTGCAGGAAAACAGCAGCTTAATATTGTGTTATTGTCATTCCCTAAGCCAGGCCTGTAATACTTTGAAGAGAGGCCCCTGGTCCCCTTGTGTTCAGCCTTTCTCTGGTGGGAGCCTCACAAAGCCTTTGCTGCAGGATGAAACGCAGCAGGTGCAGGAGCACTGGCGTCGATGGCATTTGGGACAGCCTGCTGATGAGCAGGAGGTGGGTTAAAGGCAAGACTAAAACTTCACACTGGTAAACAATTTGTTTATCAGTTATGTGGGCTCTGGCTGCCTCCTCATAAATATGCTTTTAAGGATTATTTTTTAATTTTCCCACCCTGTAATTTTAACAGTCTTTGAAAACCTCAGGTGCAAAAAGCTCTTGTTAACGGCGGTATTTGCAGTGCCAAAAGTCTTCAAGCTCTGTGAGAACAGGTCCCTCGAGAGCTCAAGGTGGTGGATACACTGTGCTAGAGCCTGAGAGCAAATGTTTCCTCAAATCCAGTAAAAAAATGCTTAAACCAGCCCCCATCCACAGAGCATGCCTTGCCCAGCAGCCTGTCCTTGCTGAATTGTGGGCTGAGGGTGTGAAGAGCTCCAGCTCTGCTGGCTGCTCTTGCACTGCATATGTCTACATATGCATTATGTTTCCATGTGCCTTTCTATTTAACAGTACCTCTGGAGCCTTAACTCCAATTTTCCTGGCCGTTGGATGATGCATATCCCCGTTTTCATCTTGAATTCACGCTGAGACGGTGTCGTATGCTTTTGAACGTATGGATATATTGCAAAACAGCGTTAAATGTTCAGTGTAGTAATCTGATGTTCCAGCTAATATGTGACAAATATTTCCCAATAATGGCTTGGCAGCAGCAGGAGTGCAGTGGTGCTGCAGCCGGCAGGACGGCGGATTGCTCCATTTCCCTGCAATTCAAACCATGTGTACTGGGGGAAGCCGAGCATTTCAAACCCTCTCCACCTCTGCAGACTCAGCAGCTCCAGAGGCTCTCTTGCTTAGATTATTTATAGAATTTAAAATTTTTTTGTTATTACTTTTAAAATATTTACCCTAACTTTATACCCAGGCATCAGCGTTCTCCAGCGTGTCCTGGAAGGCTGGTGTGGCATTTATTGTGATTTCCAGTGACTTGAAATATCTGCCTGATTTTTACTGGTGTAAATGTTGCCTTCAAGTGTCACTCACTATGTGCCTCCTCCCCGTGTTGTCTCCCCAGGTAATTAGCACAACAGAATTTCCCTAATTGTTGGAGATCAAGGGGGAGAGGGCTCTTCTGGCTTTGTAGTCCTGACAAATGGCAGATGTTTTCCAGGAGGCCAAATGGGATGCACCCAGCTCTGCTAATTCTGTCTCTTTGATTTGTTCTCTCCATGATAGCAGCTCTGTTATTGCATCTTTAGGATCTGGGCCTGTAGTGCCACATTTCTGAGTCCTTCAGGGTAGTTCAATAGATACTGAAAAATATCAACTATAAGCAAGTACCAATTTTTTTCTTCTTAAATTAGCAGTGATCTCTGCTTTTCTGAGTTGCTTTGCTTATGCTGACCTTAAACTCTGAGGTATTCCTTATACTTACCTCAAGATACCCTTTTCTGCTTACTGAAGCCATGAAAACTTAGTATTTTTCTGTAATTTGTATGATAGAGTGAGACAAAGAGCTTTACAAATAATTCAAGTTTTAAGATGTCTTCTGAATCCCCCTTTGCCTCAGTTTTCTGTACCCCGCCAGTCGCTTCCCTTCAGCAGGGTTTGCTTTCTCCATCTGCCTGTGCCCACAGGAGGCTGGGACATTGGAATTACGGATTAGTGTAAACAGGATTTTTTTGGTACTAAACTTACAAATGCAATCAGAATTCTCTCCTGCACAGAAAAGGCTGTGCCAGGATTTTAAAAAATGAGCCAGAAGCCAAGTGTTAAAGCATCTAAATAACAAAGAAC